CCCCACTCCTCTACTTGCACCTGCTGGATGACCTTGGGCAAGCCGTAGTTCTGGCACAGCTGTTCTTGAAAAAGAGCAGTTTCTGTCAGAGCTCTCTCCGCCCCACCTACCTCACAGGGTGTCTGTTGTAGGGAGGGGAAAGCCGCTCTGAGACTCCCTTGGGTAGTGAAGGGTGGGGTATAAATCCAGTCTCTTCTTCTTCTTCAGACTCTACCCCCAACTCAGAAAAGGCAACCTTACTATTATCTCAAGGAGCTCCCTAGGATGTGCAGAAAAGTATAATTTTGGAAGTTCAACTAGGGTTGCTTGCCAGCCTCCAGGCTGTGCCTGGAGATCTCATAAGAACATAAGAGACGCCAGTGTTGGATCAGGCCAAAGGCCCATCTAGTCCAACACTCTGTATCACACAGTGGCCAGAAATACCAGTGCCATCAGGAGGTCCACCAGTGGGGCCAGGACATTAGAAGCCCTCCCACTGTTGACCCCCCCCAAGCACCAAGATGACAGAGCATCACTTGCCCCAGAGCCCCTATCTATAAAAGGTAAAGGTTCCCTTGCTCGAAAGCCAGTCGAATCCGACTCTAGGGTTGCGGTGCTCATCTCCGTTTCAAAGCCGAAGAGCCAGCGCTGTCCGAAGACATTTCCGTGGTCATGTGGCCGGCATGACTAAACACCAAGGTGCATGGAACGCTGTTATACCTTGTGGCTAATAGCCACTGATGGACCTCTGCTCCATATGCTTATCTAATTCCATTTTGAAGCCGTCCATGCTTGTAGCCGCCACCACTTCCTGTGGCAGTGAATTCCAAGTGTTAATCACTCTTTGGGTGAAGAAGTACTTCCTTTTATCCGTTCTAACCCGACCGCTCAGCAATTTCATGGAGTGCCCACAAGTTCTTGTATTGTGAGAAAGGGAGAAAAGTACCTCTTTCTCTACCTGCTCTTTCCCATGCATAATCTTGTAAACCTCAATCATGTCACCCCTCAGTCGTCGTTTCTCCAAGCTAAAGAGCCCTAAGCGCCTTAACCTTTCCTCATAGGGAAAGTGTTCCAACCCTTTTATCTTTCGAGTTGCCCTTTTCTACACTTTTTCCAAAGCTATAATATCCTTTTTGAGGTGTGGTGACCAGAATTGCACACAGTACTCCAAATGAGGTCGCACCATTGATTTATATAGGGGCATTATGATATTGGCTGATCTGTTTTCAAAACCCTTCCTAATAATCCCCAGCATAGCATTTGTCTTCTCTTGGAATTACAATTATCTCCAGGTGGCAGAGATCAGTATCCCTGGAGAAAATGGAGGGTAGACTCTGTGACATTATATCCTGCTGAGATTGACAGGCACTGTTTTTTCTTTAAAAAAAAATCAATTAAAAAAAATTATTGAGAGTCAGTGTAGCATAGTGGTTGGAGTGCCAGGCTAAGATCTAAGAAACCTGCCCTGGAAGCCGCCTTGGGCCAGTCACACAGTCTCAGTCTAACCTACCCCACAGGGTTGTTATGAGGAGAAAAGGGAAGAAAGGAGAACGATATAAGCTGCTGTCGATCCCCATAAATGAAGCACATACATAAATAAATGTTTAAAAAGTTGATGCAATTCACTTCTTTCCGTCATATTAGGCTGCCGTCTGCACTCAGATCCCTGTTGGGTCTCCATTGTTTCTCCTTGTCCCCGGGGAGTACCCTCAATCCCCACTGCTAGAAAACCTGTCTTTATCAGATTTTAGAAATCCCATAGGAAGCACCAGGTTTTGCTTTGACACCACTCCCACCCTCTTCTCCCTTTTGCCTTATTGGAGCAGGCCCAAGCAGCGCTGCCAGAAATGTGGGTGTTATCTTGTGTGTCCGAGAATGTATTTGTAAAGTGCTAGATACGTAATTTGTATTATGCTGCCCCATTTGTAGAGCTGCACGCTGAGGTGCACATATTGACTTTGTATACAGATCAGCGACAGTCTAAACGATTGCACTGAATAGATGTTGAAGGCATGCTTTGAGCAACAGCTTGTGGCTTTGAATGAAGTCACCCCCCCCTTCTTGCTTTTCACCCCCCTAGCTCCTTGGAAGTAGAAAAGCAAGATCCGAATCCAGTAGCACCTTGAAGACCAAAAAGATTTTCGAGGTATAAGCTTTCAAGAGCCTAAACTTCCTTCGTCGCATCTGATGAAGGGCGCTTTAACTCTTGAAAGCTCCTACCCCAAAATCTTATAGCTCTCTAAGGTGATAACAGGACCCAAATCTAGATCTTCTACTGTTGATCAGTCTAGCTGCTCTCTGAAATTCCCCTTTTTTGTACCAGCTTAGAGCTGCTGTATAAACTCTTTTAAACCAGTTCTCAAACCTTTCAAAGTGGCACCCACTCCTAATCTTAACTGTAAGTAAGCCCACACTATTTCCCCCCTCCCTAACATAAAATGCAGAAATTTCACATCAGTTATCAATAAAAAATGTGTGGTTAAATGAACAAATGGATAGGAAAGGAGCAATCGACCGCCTCTTCTCCCCCACCGCAATACCCAGGCTGCAATTTGCCTCTTCCAAGGAAAACAACAGAAGTAACTGTGTATTTCCCCCCTGCAGGGCGAGCTATAATGCATGGTGTGTAGGAAGACAGCCGAGGAAAGTTTTCTTCACCCAAGTACTGTAGACTTGCTCTCTGAAATGCTGTGGGTTTTGGTACAGGCTCCCACTGGTATGGTCAAGCCGATCTATGGAAGGTTTGTATCCCTTTTATTCCTTAGCCCTACAGTTAAAAAGTACCCCCCCAAAAAAACACAGTTTCAGAGGGTAGCCCTGTTGATCTGCAATAGATCAGCCAGAAAAGAGTCCATAAGATTTTGAGACTCTCAACAGGTTATACTCTTGTGGCTCTCTGTGTTACTGGACTCTGTTCCTGCTCTTCAAAAATGCAGAAGTTGCTGGGGAGTTTTTAGCAGCAGTGACGACCAGCTGCCAGAGGTGGGGGGGGACCTCAATTTGCCAGAGGGCAGGGCAGGTCCTACCCACATGGCTTCAGAGTGGCATATGCGACATGCACCCGCCTCCAAATCTGCACACTTCCTCTATCCATTCCAGGTTGCTTGTAGTTTCCCCTGGCCAGAAATACATCACACAGGTGGGTTCTTTTTTCTCCTTTATTTGTAAGAAAAAGAAGCCTTTTCCCGGAGAGCTGGTTGTGCATTTGCAACAAGTATTGTGCAGGAGAAAAAGGGGGGGGGGGAGAAACACAAACGTAGCAGAGTTCCCAGCGGCCAACTTAAAACAGGGGTGTAACAGGGAGTTAAAAGCAGCATTATCGATGGGGTGCAAGACCACCGTGTAACATTGTGGGGCATTCTGGAGAACGCGGGATGGTCAGTCAGATTCTCCGTTCTTCACGGGCCACCATGACCAACCCCCATGTCCTCCCGCCCTCCTTCCAACAAACAGACCATGAGCCAACTGGATTTACCCACAAGCCCTTCTGTGCTTACTGATCTCCCTCCCTAGACTTGCCAACGCAAGGCCTCCACGACGTTTCGGGGCCTTCAGCCAACTCCCTGGTTCTTTTAGCCACTGCAGAATTACAACCGGATGAGCCCCTCCTTCCGGTCACACAGTTCTTTAAAAAGGCACGAGTGGCTTTTGAGACGTCAGGGAGTTGGTTGTTCTTTGCGGGGCGAGCCCTTCCTTTGAGACGGCTGCCGGCGGAAGTCGACTCGGAACGTGGTCACAGACCCCGCTGAACACCTGCGACAAGGCCACCCCCTAACCCACAAGAGGAACACAAAAGCGCACAGTCCCCGTCCCACCTTCCACTAGCAGGGCTTCGAAACTACCAGGGAGTCAGCCACAGCTGGCGGAAAGCACCAGGCGGATAACGTCCTGGGAGCATCACAGGTATCATTCCGAGACCGAGTAAGGCCACACAGGATTTAAGAAACCTTAGTTGTTGACTTAAAAGCTGTATCGCAAGATTTCTGGCAGTGCGGCGGCTGTCAGTCCCGATTCCCCACGGGTTTTTCCTTGGAATGAGACTCGCGAACCTAAGCTTGCGAGTCCCACAGAAAGGCTCCGGCTGCTGTAAAGCAATGTTCAGTATGGGTACAGGCAGGGAGGGAAACGTAGGCCCAAGTTGACAGATCTGCGGGGGGGGGGGGGGGGGGGATGCATCGCGGTCCAACTGAGCGAGACTCACATCAGAGGTACCACCCCTGAACAACAGCAGCGGCAAACTGTCCAACAGCGATCCACAGACAAAAATCCGGCTCAGAGCAACACTGCCAGGTTCTGGGCATCCGTTCCTTCTTCAGATCGTCAAGTTTGTCTCATTCCTCCAGCTCTGCTCCCGACTGACCTTGACCTTAAAAAGTATTCTAATCAAAACGAACCTCCCCATTTATTTTTTTAAAAAAGAGATGACAAGCAGCACATTACAGAACACGCTTGGATGAAGAGAGTGGCTGGTTTTAAAGCCACAGCCGGCCAGATGCGGCCATCTAAGAATCAGCGGTCCCATTTTTCTCCCAATGTAGTGCGCTGAACTTAAAAGTATAAAAATTACACATGTCATGCAAGCAGTATGGGGCAGTGAACACAGTTTGGTCCAAGCACACGTGGCAATATGCAGATGACACAACCGGCTCGTCGGGGTAGAAGAAGAAGAAGAGAAGAGATTGGATTTATACCCCGCCCTTCACTTGGAGTCTCAGAGCGGCTGACAAACTCCTTTCCCTTCCCCTCCCCACAACAGACACCCTGTGAGGTGGGTGGGGCTGAGAGAACTCTGACACAAACTGCTCTTTTTCAAGCTGTGCCAGAGCTTGTGGCTGACCCAAGGTCACATCAGCAGGTGCAAGTGGAGGAGTGGGGAATCAAACCCGGTTCTCCCAGATTAGAGTCCGCACACTTAACCACTGCACCAAACTGGCTCTCTACACTGTCCCCTGCCTCGATCAAAATGGCAGACTCGTCGGGCTATTCTGACAACGTCATGCCATTTTACACCCTGATCCAAGTCTCAGGATGTGGAATGTCAATTTGCCCTGAAATAATAATAAGCTTTGGAAGGCATCTCCCCCCATTTCCCATATTTCACAGGGCTCGTCTTCAAAAAAAATATCAGGGCCAACATAGCCTAAAACCTCACTTTAAAAACATCAACACCCAACCCCCTAAAAGTGCTTGGAGAAGAAAAAGGGTTTGGGGGGTACATTGTGCATAAATATCCACAGGTTTCCTTCTCCCTAAAGCTGTGAACAGCAACAAAGAAAAGGGGGGGGAATAAGATGTGCGCGGAGAGAGAGGACGTGTTGTTCAAAATAGTCTTCTCTCAGAATGAAATCATGCCTTGCTCTATGAAAATACATCTGTATGAAAGTAGTACAAACCAGCCCTTTCGGGGGGCTTTTATGGAGCACCTCACGAGCAACACAAAATGGCGGCCAGCAGCCCATGAGCTACAGAGGAGGGCCTAGGGCGTGCGTGCTGATTGCTTCAGCCTTCCCAAACGAAACCATGGCTTCACACACACGAAATGGAGGATAGAAACACACACACAGCTATGCACACTAGGCCTACGAGGTCTTGGACTGGAATCCTGGTTTCCGCTGTGCGTGAGGAGACAGAACTCTCAAACCCTTCCTCAAAACAAAGACGCAACTCTGGCAAAAGGTAATGTAGACAAGATGGATGGAGGCGGCCGAGCAACAAGTGGCTGGATAAATGCAGCTGAGGAGAAAGCCCCCCCCCCCAAGTGAAACCAGCAAACAGGTAAGCAGAAGTGGGACAGGTTTGTGGTTTCGGCCTCTCGTCAGCTTCCTGCTTGCCGGCACGTGGGTCCGAGCACTCGCTCACATCGTCCAGCAGTCCCCTAACACGCACATCCCCCTTGGCGGGATCAAAGTCTGAGTCTCAGAAGTCACTAAGAATGCTGATGTCCGCAAACTCGTTTCTGTACCGGTAAGAATACAAGCAGAGGAGGAAGGCCCACTTGAAGGAGAGGAGGCTCCAGATGCAAGACAGGTAGTAACTCTTTGGATCCGTCAAGGCTAAATGGAAGAAACAGACATCATGAGATACCACAGCTGAACAGGACAATCTCTGATGCGAGTTACTCCCACACCACAGCTTCTGAATTCAGGCATCTTTCCCCATAGCCAACAGCCACCAGCATTAGTCCTCCAGGAACTGGTCCCATCAATACGCAACAGCTGGATCTCATGGGCCCTGAACCTGGTGGGCCCAGGCCAGGCAGATCTGGTCAGAAGCCAAGCAGGGTCAGCCCTGGCTAGTAAACGGATGGGGACCTCCAGAGGAAGTCCAAGGTCGCTTTGCAGCGGCAGGCAATGGAAAACCACCTCTGAACGTCTCCTGCCTTGAAAAGCTTACAGGGTTGCCATAAGTCGGCGGTGGCTTGACGGCCCTTCACACGCACAGATTCCATGGAGGATTTCCACCGACAGAGGATGGGGGGGTGGGGTTCTCCATTCCCTCTGCAGACCTCTGACTTGCCATCCCTGCAAGCAGTTCCTCGGAGTCCCCTTTCCCCCAGGAAGAGCTGGTGGGGGGCCAGTGTTCCCTCCAAGCTGAGTTAGTGTGAGCTAGCTCACAGTTTTTCAGCCTCCAGCTCACAGATTTTTGTCTTTGCTCAGGAAGGATGACTCCAGGGCCAACTAATTTATGCAGTAGCCAAATCGCTCGCTCACACATTTCATGCCAGTAGCTCACAGAGTAGAATTTTTGCTCACAAGACTCCACAGCTTAGAGGGAACATTGGTGGGGGCATGTTTTGGTCTGCAGAGGGAGGGGAGGACTTGAAATCCCCACTCCCCTGCCGGGAATTCTCCTCACCCGCGGGACTCTCCAGTGGGGCTAATCCAAGCCGTTTTGTTTTTTGAGGCAAATACTGGCTCACTGACACATTTCGTAAAGGTGGAGCAAAATTCTGCCGGAGAGTCCTACACTGTTTAGGTCTTCATTGAATCGCCTGTGCGTTTTGGGGGGGAACTTCCTCCACCCCTTCCCCAGGAAGGCTCCCACACTTCTGATCTTCTGCAAACTATGTTTATTATATGCATTATGCTGTTCTTACCGCATCGTGCCCTATGTTAGCAGATTCATTTCCTACATTTCTTGACAAACCTTTTTGCACTCCTTCTGATTTTTTCCCCCTGGTAATCCTAGAGCTATCAGATTGCTTATTAGACGTCTCATGCTATTTGACTGCATTGCTTTATACCAGTGTTTCCCATCCTGTGGATCGTGAAGACTCTGAAAGTGGGCTCTGGGCCAACCCTCCCTAATGGCTACCCCCTGCCCTTTCCATTGCCCTCTTCAGCATTTTGGAAACCAAGATATGACCCCGGAAACAGGACCTTCCATGTCATACACTGGCTGGTATTTTTTCCTTCACTGTGTATTCACACTGATCAAGTAAAACGTGTCCTGATGGTTCCTAGAGTGAGTTTCCTAGAATCGGGGCTATTTTTGGGCAGGAACGCACAGGAACGGAGTTCTGGCTGGCTCCCGAGTTGGCCACGCCCAGCAGGAACTCATTAGCATAACAGGCCACACCCAAGAGCAGGAACTCATTAGGATTGGCTACATTAGGGGTGTGTGGCCTAACATGCAAAGGAGTTCCTGCTACAAAAAAAGGCCCTGGGTTTTGACAACGAACAAGGTAAACAGAATAAGAAGCAAAAGGTGGGTGTGGCTGGATGACCACACTTCTGGTAACATGGGGGTGCGGCCTAATATGCTAATTAGCTGTGCTGTCAGGGGTGTTGCCTAACATGCTAATGAGTTTCTGCTGTTGGGTGTGGCCTATTATGCTAATGAGTTCCTACTGGGCTTTTTCTAAAAAAAAATGCCCTGCCTAGAATCTTAGGCGGATCAGAGGGAGTAACGGAGAAGGAGCGGGTGCTCAGAGGCTGGAATGTCACCTCCATAGGCAAAGGATGCCACTTACTTGGGGTTCACAGGGCGCCCTTTGTGCGATGTTTGTTGGTTTCTCAAAAAAACATCTGATTAGCCACCGTAGAGAATGAATGGTGAACTAGAAGGGTGCCACGGTCATACCCTCGGGCCTTGGACGGGTCACCATACCAAGTGAATAGATCCAGAGGAGTTAGCCACGTTAGTCTGTTGCTGCAAAACAGCAAAAAGCCCAGTAGCCCCTTTTTGACTAACAACCTTTATTGGAGCATAAGCTTTCGAGAAACACAGCTCTCTTCGTCAGATGCATGGAGGGTATGAAGACACTGGCCAGGGATCTATAGGTGGTATATTCCATTCAGGTATTCCATTCAGATTCATCTATAGAAGGAAGGGGCCACACCCAGCCTGGATTGCACATTCTACCTTTCCCGTGACTTTTGCAACCGCTTTGCATTTACATGGCACTTTCTGCATCTTCTCCCCTCTCCCCTTACCACCTATATATCCCTGGCCAGTTTCTTCATACCCTCCATGCATCTGATGAAGAGAGCTGTGTTTCTCGAAAGCTGATGCTACAATAAAGTTTGTTAGTCTTAAAGGTGCTACTGGGCTTCTTACTATTTTTCATACCAAGTGAAGTTGGATTTGTGGGTCATCCTAACCAAAAAGGCTGGGAAAACAGTTTTACACCATGTCATCCTCCTCGAAAGGGGAGGTGAATACAGTAAATTTAAATAACTGTTTACTGTATGTGTTATGCAGTCTGAACTTCAGCATTCCCTAATTGTGAAATTCACCTTTTTTGGATCGATGGGAAGATCCAGGTTATGTGACGCGTTATACCGCTTCTAGGCCACTTCTATTTTACCTTCTGTAGACCGGTTTCATTGCATTATTCATTGTGTGCCTCAGATTGTGTTTTGTACTTCATAACTCTATAACGCACTGTGAGACTCAATGAGAAAAGCAGCTGAGAAATTAAGTGAACTAGGAATAAGCCCTTGATCGGAAGTCACCAGGAGAGAAGCCTTCAAACTGCCAGTGGTGCTGGGTCAAACCACTGATCTCTCACGGGCATCACTGTCTACTCTAACTGGCAGTGGCTCTCCAGGGTTCCCCCGCAGAGGCCTTTCACGTCACCCGATCCTCTTCACTGAAGATGCCAGGGATTGAACTTGGGACCTTCTGCATGCAAAACAGACATTCTAAGTGTGAGTCACAGCTCCTCCCCTTGATAATGAGCACACAAAGCTTCCTTGTATCAAGTCACATTTCTGCTCGAACAAGGCCAGTGCTGTTCACGCGGACTGCCGACAGCTCCAAGTCAGTGTCTTTCCCGACACCTGATCCTTTTGATTGGAAGATGCCGGGGACTGAACCTTCTGCAAGCAAAGCACGGAGACAACGACAGATTGGGTAGCCATGTTAGACTGCCTATAGCAGCAGAAAAAAGCAAGAGTCCAGTAGCACCTTAAAGACTAACACAATTTGTGGCAGGGGAGGAGTTTCCGTGAGCCACTGCTCACGTCTTCAGAGAGCTTCAGATATAAGAAGCTCTCTGAAGCAGTGAGCAGTGACTCAGGAAAGCTCCTCCCCTGCCACAAATTTTGTTAGTGGCTCAAGTGGTTAAGACGCTGAACTGCCGGCTATGGAAGGTCGGTAGTTCAGCAGTTCGAGACCCGGGTGCCACATGACGGAGTGAGCTCCCGTCTCTAGTTCCAGCTCCTGCCAACCTAGCAGTTCGAAAGCAAGAAATTGCAAGAAGATAAATAGGTACCACTTCGGTGGGAAGGTAACAGCGTTCCGTGCGCCTTGGTGTTTAGTCATGCCGGCCACATGACCACGGAAACGTCTTCGGACAGCGCTGGCTCTTCGGCTTGGAAACGGAGATGAGCACCGCAACCCTAGATTCAACTGGCTTTCGAGCAAGGGAACCTTTACTTTTACCTTTAAGGTACTACTGGACTCTTGCTCTTTTCTGCTGCATGCAAAGCAGATGCTCTGCCCTGGCAGAGCCAAAGCCCTACACAGTCGTTTTACCACTCTCCTTGGCCCTGACCTGGGTAGCCCAGCTTAGCTTGATCTCATAAGATCTTCGAAGCTAAGCAGAGTTGTCCTTGGCTTGTATTTAGATGAGAGACCACCAAGGCATTCCAGGGTCGTGATGCAGAGGCAGGCCATGGCAAACCACTTCTGCCCCGAAAACCCCACAGGGTTGCTATAAGTCAGCTGTGACTTGATGGCACTTTCCAACCAACCAACCTTGGCCAGCAGAAACAGAATGAACAATGCATTAATATTTCCTTAACAGGGCATCCGTGAACAGGAGAGGCTGCCCTATACAGAGTCAGAATGTTTTTCCGTCCAGCTCACCACTTCTACTCTGACTGGCATCAGCACCCTGGGGAGAGATCCCGCCCAGCTTTGTTCCCTCCATCTGGAGACTAAACCCGGAACCTCGCTCATGCAAATGCCATCCTCTACCAGGGAGGCTGCAGAATTTCATTATTCTAGAGGTTGAATTCAGAACTCTCCCTTCACTCTCTTTGGACCACTTGCTATAACCAAGCTCACCTACAGGGGACCGAAGCAAAGCCAGATCATGGGGTTCTGCAGGGCCTGTAAGACGGAGCTCTTCCACCAGGCTTTTGGGTGAAGCAGTAGGCGTCAAATATCACCTGGCTGAGCCTGCTACCATTCTGTTACTATCTGTAAGAGCTCCCCAAGGATATCAGGGCCTTGTGGAATTTATTACAGTTCTGCAGGGCCTGCAAGACGGAGCTCTTCCACCAGGCATTTGATTGAGGAGCCACACTTAACATCGGAATCTCATCAAAGGCTATTGTCTTGTGCTGTTCTTAACATAGTATGGGCTGGACAGTAGCCTTGTAAGCTAACGCTGACTGGATACCTGCTATGGATAACATCTAAAAACCATGTTTCGTCGCTACATATGTAATAGTAATATGTAGTAGTTATATAGCACCTTAGAATTGTTTTTATGGTTTTAACTTGTTTTTAACTTTAGCTGCTGTAGATTTTCCAGGTTGAGTGGCCGTGGTCTTGGCATTGTAGAACCTGACGTTTTGCCAGTAGCTGTGACTGGCATCCTCAGAGGTATAACACAGAAAGATAGAGTACTCTCTGTATCAAGGTGAGAAGAAAAATGGTAGGCAGGTAATTTATATCTACTCCAGAAGATGGGGTAGGGCTGAGTCATTATCTTGTAGGAGTTTCCCAGGCTATGAACATGCTAATGGAGGAGCTTTCCTGGGGAGGTTCTTTCAACAACATGTTTCCTGAGGAGCCTTCGACAACATGTGTTTAACTTGCTCAAATTTTATTGCAAGCTGCCCTGAGCCTGCCTTGGCGGGGAGGTTGGGGTATAAATCAAGTGAATCAAATCAAATCTGTTACTATCGATTACGGTCTTCAGTTTTCGAGGACACGGAATGATAACCGCCTTGGTTTAGCCAAGGTATGGTAGTTACGATCTGCGCCCTTTCTGCTTCTAATTGTTTACCATCAAGGCACCACTGTAATAGCTGCAATATAATTGATCGCCATCGCTTTAAGGGTGAAGTTTATAGTTTTAATCTTTGATTTTATTATTTGATATTAACATTTGTAACCCACCCTGAGCCCGTTCGCGGGAAGGGTGAGATAGAAATCGAACCAAATAAATAAATAAATAAATAATAAAAATCATACTTACACTGCTGCTGCGTAATGGCCAGTGCCAGGAACGTGCAGAACCCGGCCACAGCGAGGATGGAGAAGAGAATGCCGACAACGAGAAAGAACTTCAAGCCCTTCAGCCAGGTCCTCCAGTAATCCTGCACGTACATCACATGCGTGATGAGGGCCCAGAGCGCCAGCACACCTGTATGCGCACAGAGAAAGAGAGAGCCTGTAAGGAACTCATAGCCACCAGCAAGCACCACAAGAAAATATATTTTTTTAAAAATCCTAGCAATGACAACAGACTGTTCAAAGGCAGAGCGGGAGAACTCTCAGCTTGCAAGCCCTGTTCCCGTGTTACAGTGGACCCACAAACAACCTGCATATACCTGCTTCTAAGAAAGAGCTGGCATGTATTCACAAATAAAACCGGGGACCAGGACCTGGATAAATATGGAGGTTAGACACTAAGCCTCTGAATCCCAGAACCAGGAGAAAACATCAGGGGAAGGCCTCAGCCTCTAGGCCCTGCTGCTGGCCCTCCAAAGGAACTGGCTGGCCACTGTGTGAGACAGGGTGCAGGACAAGATGGGCTATTGGTCTGATCCAGCAGGGTTCTTCTGATGTTCTTACGAAGTGCACGCTGTATACAGATGGTACGTGTGTCCACTGTAATGTGTCAATAGGGCTTGTCTCTTTCAAGTTAAGGGGGCCAACTGTGCTTCTGCAGAACTCTTAAGCTGCACAACACCTTCACTGCTGCCAATACGAATAGTGGCATATATATTAAAAGTATTATTATTAACAGAAACATATTATTACTATTATTAAAAAGTCTGTGTATATAAATATCTCCTTATATATAAAAGAGTTTTGGTGTCTCTCCTGCACACGCTCCCGCAGCCTTTGGCTCCCGCACCTGCCACTCTGAAGGATCTCCTGGCTGCATTGGCTGGCTCCCTTGCCTCCGTCCCGCCCACAGAGGCAGCGAGGCGGCCACCAGCATCTCTGGCTCAGTGTGCTCTGAGCCAGCTGATGGGATGGACACTCTGGCAGCCGGAGGATGAGCAAGCCCACTGGGAGATGTGGGGCGGAGGCGTGAGAGCCCAGAGATATTCAGAAACGTCACGGCCAAGGCAGGGATGGGGCGGCGGGTGCTGCTGCGGCAGGAGACTGCCCCTCTGCCGGCAGCCCTGTTGTTGTCCAGGTCAGCCGAAGTGGCTCTGATGCCGCTCCATGCTGTGCCCCACCGCCGCCACCAGCACCACCGCCGAACACACCGCGAGGCCTCCCTGATGCAGGTCCACTGCCGCACCAAGACCCTCCTCCTGTCTGACCCCAGTGGCGGGAGCCGGGACACTGGCGGTGGCAGCAGAGTGGCGGTGCTCTACCCACCACTGGGCCCAGGAGACAAGAACGCCGCCGCCCTTTCTTCTCCTGAGGGAGGGGCTGGCAGGTGGCGGCCCAGCTACAACTCATTCCATTTGTCTCCACAACGGACCTTCTTCTTAGTATATATAGATTAACATTTTTATGCATTTATTAATATTTTTATAAAGTTTTTAAAGTTTGTAATCCTTATACCAATCCATTAAACTAGGGCAGTATCATCGTCATTCACACACTGCAGATGCAGAGAGTGATACTGGGTGGCTAGCCTAAGGCCACCTAGTGATTCCACGGCAGATGCAAAATTCGAACCGGGGACTTCCTGATTTGTGGTTCAGTCTCTTAGCTGCTATGCTCCCTAAGCCCTTCAATATACCGATGGCCACATATCAGAATAAAGTTTTTTTTTTAAAGTAATTTTATATGCAAGTTAGCATTTGAAAATCTGTTTTGTCCAATATCGAGTGGTACCCCTCCCTCCCAACAACAAACAAGGGCGGAAGGGTGAAGCTGAGGTCACCATCTAGTGGGGAAAGAGGTTGCTGCAAGCTATGGGGGAGGCAGCATTTGACTGATCAGCAGTGCCATCCCAGACAGAGTCACAGCCTTCCACGGCCACAGAAAGTGTCTCAGGAGTTGGCAAAGTCAACTACTGCCCAGGATTTCTGGGGCAGACAAAACTGCATCCTTGGCCTTTCTCCCAGAGGAATGTCACAAACAAGTGTTCCTTCTAAGCCGTGCACGTGAGCGGCCGCTCATTAACACAGGAAGCCCTGCTCAGCAGCAGTCTGGAGCCACGCAGTGTGTCACACTGCCCATTGCCTATTTTAAGATACAGCAGTTCTGTTCTGCTCAGGGTGTGAACTGCTCCGTTCAGTAGAGGGGGGGGAATTAGAGGGAACGTCTGTCACAAACCCACCTTATGGAAACGGTTGCTGGCAGCACGTTTTTTATTTATTTTATTTAAACACATATAGCCCGCCTTGCCTTGTGCTTCAAGGTGGCTTACGTTAAAAAAGAATTTCCCGTTACACCCAGGATGAAACGACAACCCCCAAATCCCTCCCTCCCTCCCTTAAAAGATGCCTGCCATGCAAAAAAGGTAAAGGTTCCCTTGCTCGAAAGCCAGTCGAGTCCGACTCTAGGGTTGCGGTGCTCATCTCCGTTTCAAAGCCGAAGAGCCAGCGCTGTCCGAAGACGTTTCCGTGGTCATGTGGCCGGCATGACTAGACCCCGAGGCGCACGGAACGCTGTTACCTTCCCACCGAAGTGGTCCCTATTTATCTACTTGCAATTTCTTGCTTTCAAACTGCTAGGTTGGCAGGAGCTGGAACTGGAGACGGGAGCTCACTCCGTCATGCGGCAACTCGGGTCTCGAACTGCTGAACTACTGACCTTCCACAGCCTGCAGTTCAGCGTCTTAACCACTTGAGCCACCATGCAACCCCCCCCCCTCAAAAAGCTCTGGCAAACAGGCCAGACTTGCAGTGCCTCCTAAAGTTCTCCAAGGAGGGGACCCCTCCTCACCTTTTCAGGGAGCCAACCTCCACAGAGCTGGAGCCATGCTGGAAAAGGTTCAGGTTCTGGTCGATGCCAGATGGGCTCCCCCTAAATGTTGGGATAGCCAACAGATGGCTGCCTGAGGACCATAAGTTGGCCACCAGGGACCTATGGAAAGAGACAGTCCTTAAGACATGTGGGAGGGGGGGTCCCCAGGTCGTGAAGGGCTTTAGAGATCACCACCAGCACTTTGAATTGAACTTGGAATCAGACTGGCAAGCCAATGGAGCTGTCTCAAAATGGGCAACGTATTTTCCCAGCGGCTAGCCCCTGGCAAGAGGACCACTTGTGATTTCCAGGTTATCTTCAAGGGCAGCCCCAAGTAGAGCACGTTGCGGTAATCAGACTGTGAGGTGACAGAAGCATGGATCTGCGTGGCCGGATCAGCTGAGTCTAGGTAACCAAACGCAGCTGATGGAAGGCACTCTCGGCCTCCTTGCTAACTTCCTTTTCCAACAGCAAGGCATGAGCAACCCCAAAGCTCTGCTCTGAAAAGCCAACGGCGCTCTGTCCAGGACAAGCGAATTCAGTCCCTCTAGAACATCAGCCTTCCTGACGAGCATTACTTCCGTCTTGCCTGTACTTCAAACTCACATTTCAGCAGCCCGGAAACTGTGACTTCCTTTCCTTTCCCTTCTCTTTTGTACCCTTGGAAGCTCACTGATTCACGAACCGTGAGCAGCAGAAAGCACTTATTTCTTATTTTTTAGACGCAAGGGCTAAAAGGACAGACAAATTTTGTGATTGCTCGAGTGATCTTAGGATCCTTATCACTGAGTGAAAGAGCCCAGATTTCTGGAGTACAGGGGGAAATTGTGGCTTCCACTTCTAGTAGTGTGGCTTCCACTTCTAGTAAGCATAAACTTGCAGGTTAGGATATCATGGCAGCCTGTTCAATGTGTTAACTTGGGGGGGGGGTAATCCAACTGTGGATACCCACAATGCATGCTACTCACAATCCTCCACGTATTCACAGTTGCCCTTTTTGTCTGAGAAACGGCAGCCATGAGTACTGAGAATTGTGGGTAGTGTGTATCACAGATACGGCGACTGTGCCTATCATGAGGATTGTGGGTAACACTTGCTCTCCCAGTATGCATAGTTGGATACCACCAAGTATAAAAAGCCTAGGACCTTATGGTTATCAAGAATGAAAAAAGGAAGAAGGCTTAGTGTAGTAGAGCCTCTGCTTGGCATGCAGAAGGTCCCAGGTTCAATCCCCGGTTAGCTCCAGTTAAAAGATCCAGCAGCAGGTGAGGTGAAAGACCTCTGCCTGAATCCTTGGAGAGCCGCTGCCAGTCTGAGTAGACAATACTGACTTTGATGGACCAAGGCTCTGATTCAGGAGAAGGCAGCTTCAATTATGTGTTCATGGTCCTAATTGCCAAACCAGTGACACATGACCTGGGCCAAAATCTTTATCTGGCCACACAAAACGGTACCTACGCAAAAGATTCCCACACAAAATGAGGACATGGATTATTGCACAGTGCTGCTGTCCCAAAAGAAACAACATGGGACGACGTTTCAAGACGGTTGCTCGGAAAATGCCGACAAGGATTACAGTCCAATTAACAACTATAAGAAGTGCTCAGAGGAAGGGACAGCAGGATCGACTGATTTACCAACTTGATGCACTCTAGTTGTGAATGTCCTCCTTAAAGGTTCACCAGTTGACAGTGAAGTGATATCAAGACAGCATCCCTCATGGATAATGTATTGAGATCACTGACCCTTAACAAGATGGATCGGGACAAACACCTTAGTTCTCTCCCCCACAGAACCAATCCATAACACAGGATCAACCACAAGGTGGAGAAAGGTGCGTGGTAGTGACCCAGCTTGACCATTTATACCCACTCCAAGATGAGGTCCTGAGTATATTCCAAGTTCAAGAGAACCACGGCTGAACAAGACAAGAGACTTTTTACAAGTATTGGGGGGGGGACCTCTGAAAATGCTTTTCTAAGCTACAGAAAAGGGGAAGTTCTGCAGAAATGCAAGCTTCTAAGTTACATTTTAAAAAAAATTGCAAAAAAAAAAAAAAGTGAAGTCACCCTTCCTTTCCTAAGCTGCTTTTTTCAGCCGGGAACATGTGGTCTGTTTACCGTCTCTTAGAAGAAGCTGACTCAAGGCCACAAGGCAGGTCACCCCCAACTGATGCTGCACTTTCAGAACACCGTGACTCAGCAGAAGTCGGAACTCTCTGGAAAGGAATTCTTTCAAATGACACAGCAAAAAAGAGAGAGAGAG